CATTGTTTATAAAAATCCCCAAGAAACAAGAGCTAACCTTTTGCTCAGTGGGAAACCCCTGGTTGGAACTGTAAACAGCAGCCTTATAAGCATCTGAACTAACTGTGCTGTTAGCTTTGGAAGTTGATAAAAGATTTGTTGGCCTTCTTTGAGCTTTACCCATGATAAAATGCCTCCTAGCAGAACTTCTAGAGATTTTTAATTTACAAGGAACTATAGCAAGTGTTTTGGGATCAAATTAGGACCCAGGGCAAGGAATGTAACAATAGCACACAAACCAAAACCTCTTTGATTGCCATTTGTTTCCAAGTGAATTGACTATACCATTTGAAGCAATTACTAGTGTTTTTCAAAGAAAATAATTTTAAAAGAGACAGCTAGAATACTTTTAAATCATATTTGTAGGTCAGTTTTAGCATGTCACAGCACATAGAATTGGCTTCTGTAAAAAATGTGTAAAATGAATAAAATTTTAAAAAGTACCTACCCCAAAATGGAAGATGGCTCATTTACTGTTGGATACAACACCTATTGTGTGTGTATGTAAACATTAGGCCTTCTTTGCTAAGAGTTTCTGATCATCTTTAGAAATAACAACTGTGCTTCCTTAAGTTTTTTTAAGCGAAATCATGAGATATCCTGATGGTTTAATATTCCTGCTCATTGCTCTTCCATTGTTTGGAAGTACTTTCCTAATGCACCTGTTTCCCTATAAGCCTGCCTAATTCCCCAGAGAATTGTGTGAAATTCCAAAATTGCTATTCTCCTTCTAAAAAAAAAAAAAAAAAATCCCACAAACAACAAAAAAAATTCCTGCTCATTGCTCTTCCATTGTTTGGAAGTACTTTCCTAATGCACCTGTTTCCCTATAAGCCTGCCTAATTCCCCAGAGAATTGTGTGAAATTCCAAAATTGCTATTTTCTCCTTCTAAAAAAAAAAAAAAATCCCCTAAACAACAACAAAAAAACTCTTTTTCCCACTGTCTGCCTCTGGAGGAAAGGATAAATGTGTCAGCTAAGTTTAGAGCAAGTAATATTAAGGTGGTGTATACCTTTCCTTTCTACAATATTTGCATCTCTCAAAAAGAACATAAAATATCAAAGCTTTTAGACAAATTAGTAATCCTTATGGTGAAATTTCAGGCAATGTTGCTAGCAGGTGGTTACGTTGGGGCTCTATTCCTTTATCCTTCAGTTGACACGACTTACATAACCAGCAATTTTATCTTAGAATGAAGCCCACTCAGGGAAAATTATTTATGAGAAAAAAAAAATTGGAAAGCAATTACAGTTGAGGGCAGCCACATAGTGTTATCAAAACTTTTACATCAGTTCAATAACCTTGTGATTATGGGAAAGATTATGTGATTATGGTACTACATTCAATATTATGGCCTTACTTTGGTGGACTCATGGATACTGAGAGGCCTTGTCATATTAGACTCTGGTTAAAATACTGTTTGATATGCCGAATTAAAATGTGAACTGCCGAACCAGCAGTGCCTGATCTTTCAAATACTTTTCATAGAAAAAAAAAAAAAAAAGGAGCTACTGTCATCCCGCAGCATGCATGTTGGAACTGGTTCTAGAAACCACACAGATACCAAAATCTATGGATACTCAAGACCTTTACATAAAATGGCAAAGTATTTTTAGGTAACCTACGCGTATCTTCCTGTATACTTTAAATCATCTCTAGATTACTTATAATGCCTAATACAAAATAAGGCTATGTAAGCAGTTACTCCGCTATTTGGAAATTTTTAAATGTATATTATTTGAAATATTTCCCCACTATGTTCAGATCTGCAGATGCAAAAGGTCAATTCTATAAGGCATTGCCACCTAAAGTATTTATTCTTTTTTCTACAGGATGTTGATAAATGGTCTTTCGATGTATTTGCCCTAAATAAAGCAAGTGGAGATCAAAGTCTGAAGTTTATGATTTATGAACTTTTTACCAGATATGATCTTATCAACCGTTTCAAGGTCAGCAACAGGAAATAAAAGTGAAATGTTCTTAGAATTGGCTGTTTAAATAAGTATGAAAATGCAGAACATCGAGTTCATTCCATTTGTATAGAATGTTTCTGTTAGGTTGTCAGGAAAGTTATAACATACTTCTCTATTTTTTTATGCAGAAATGTATCCTAACTTTGCCAACAGTTAATAGGTCATGAAAGTATGAGGACAAGTACACTAGCTGGTGGAAAGTTCTCTACAATTCACGGGCACATCTGTATATCCACCTGGAGATCATGAAGCCAGCACAGCCTCACTCCAACAAGAGATCAACATGCCCTGAATTATACATGAAACACGCATGCAGGGATTGGGAACTGTGCCTTAAGGAAATATGATTGATATGCAGGCTCCTTAAACACAATATTAGACTATCGGCAGTTTCCTTAAACTGACATAAAGGGGCGTCTGGTTCACTTCATTCTGAGCCACCTAAGGAGTAGTTTGATCCAGACTTCTGAGCAGTCTACAGCTATTCAATTTTCATCATTTCCTATAGAACCAGGACGTTTTTGAGAGCTAGGAAGTACTAGATGGTACTCTATTTTAACCCCCTTATATTACTGTCCTGTCCTTCATTAATTGTAATTGGAAAATGTTACCATTTTAAGAACCAGTCTTCTTACTTAGAAAGATATAAAAATGTAAAGGCTATAGTTTAGGTAGGATTGTTATTTCCTCTATCTTGGTTAAATATTTGAGGGTTAAAACTCTCAAGTTTGAAGCTAACATGTAAATGAAATGGTTTTTCAGAGCAATCCATATTTAGCTTAAAGAAACTACTACCTTCATCTGCTGCACTCATGAATCTCATGCCAGACATTGTGCACCTCTATCTTGGTTAAATATTTGAGGGTTAAAACTCTCAAGTTTGAAGCTAACATGTAAATGAAATGGTTTTTCAGAGCAATCCATATTTAGCTTAAAGAAACTACTACTGCACTCATGAATCTCATGCCAAGCATTGTGCACATGTTGATTTAGAGATACTCTTTTGGTCCAAATATAATCATAATTATTACTTTCCGCAGATTCCTGTTTCTTGCCTAATTGCCTTTGCGGAAGCTTTACAAGTTGGTTACAGCAAGTACAAAAACCCCTATCACAATCTGATCCATGCAGCTGATGTCACTCAAACTGTGCATTACATAATGCTTCACACAGGTATCATGGTAAGAAAATCTTTATCATCGCAGTTTCTTAGTTTGGATACATCAAATTCCATTTCTCTAGGAGGATCTTTCTTGGGGTTTCCCGTGAGAATTCAGCCAATTGGTAGCTACAGCTGAAGACATCTAAGGGCATCGCTGAGCAGGACATCCATGATAGTGTACTCATGTGGCTGGGAGTGGGTCGTGGATACTAGCTGGGAGCTCAGCTAGAAATGTAAGGAATTTTTGGACTCTTACCACAACTTTATAAAAATACACATTCTATGACTAAGTTAAAAGTAATATAACCTGATTTGGTGTTAAGTACTATCATTAGAGAATCTCAAAAACCTGTACTGATCCAATAGTCCAACTTAGAAGTTCAGAGTAGATATATTACTATCTTTTTACCTGGTGTTTTCCCCAGTTAGGTTGTACATATGGGCATCACCCATTTCAAACATAAATGTGCTCATTGGGCCAGATTAAACACAGTCATGGCTAGACTTAGTCCTTGGTTGAAGTGTACTCTCTCTTCTCAGTAGTGTTATTTGAGATTTGAAGAAGGGAAGTAGAGATTACCAATAATACTCACACAAAGATATAAACATATATTTTTAAAATATTACAAGCCTCTTTTTTTAGAGCTTTTTGTTTATTTATTTGCCTTACGGCATTTGCTTGCCCCAGAGAGAAACAGAGGCAGTAAGAGAGAAAGTGAGAAATCACACCCCAGGGGAGTGATTTGGCCACTCCACAATCCCTTTTCCATTCTTGTCCTGGGATTGTGGGCACTCATGCACACACGCCCGGCATGATTTTCGAGCCACTGAATCTGGGACTCAAACCACGGTCAGTTATATAGGAGTCCAGTCTGCTAGTCCCAATAAACTTAAAATAGTATGCTTGGCACCAGAAGATGGCGTATTGGTTACAAAGCTGAACTCCCACATAATCACTGCAGTTCAAGTCCGGGAACTGGTGTATTAAAACTCACACTAGGTGCATGTGCATATGTGCTCAAGGTCCCAAGAAAAGAATGGAGAAGACAGGATTGTGGCATGGCCACCACCACCCTGGGTGTGAGTGTGTGATTTCTTGCTTTCTGTCTCTCTCTCACTCTTTGTCTATCCATATCCTATAGCAAAAAATAACTCAAAAAATAAAAATAAAAAAATAAATAATAAAATAATGTGCCTGACCTTCTTAATATGTTTCTAGCATGAATACATGTGTGTATGCATGTATAAATGCACATGCACATACCCAAAAACACATACTAGAAATTCTTTCTAAGCTCTTTTTGTTTAGGAAGGCTTCACTGTCGTAGCTGTTTCTTGACTCTTTACTTTTACCTGGTTTGGAATGCATGGAGTATTAGTGAGAAAACAACATGCCTCCTGACAGCTGTAAATGCTGTTACACCTTCCTTTAACATCTTCCTGGGTAGAGTTGGTTGCTTTTTCCTTTCTAAGACCTTTGTTCTGAATCTGACAGTAAAGTGATTTTTATTTCAAGTATTTGGTATTTTTCTCTTCCTCAAATTCTGTGGCTTTGAAAAAATCAGCCCAAATATGAAATATTTAAGTGTCAGTCTGCAATGGAAACTGATTAGATTTCTTTAGAACAAAATGGAATGGAAAAGCAATGCCTGCTTCAGAATAATGATATATCTAATGCAATTATATGGCTCAATAAGAAAATAAATGCCTTTTCATATGTTTTTGTTTAAGTATGTTTGTTTGTTCTGCTTTTTTTTTTTCTGGGGTTTCTTTCTTTCTTTCTTTCTTTCTTTTTTTTTTTTGCACAAATGTAAAGGGAGCTATATGACTGATTTATATTTCGGCTTCAGAACTTCTAGTCTGAAGAGAACGTTGAAGAAATGGTGGTGTCATATTAGTGGAATTTAAAGAAACCTCAAGTCCATAATGTGACTTTACTCTCAGACGTAAGAGAAGACTTGTTACAGGTCATAAGCCATTGCAACTTCTCTGGAAGACCGGGAAATCTGGCCCAGCCTCACGTGACTTTTAGAAAGTAAATGTCATTAGTAAAGATCACATAATCCCTTTCTGGGAAACCCATGACTTACTAAATATGAATGTAACTTCCCTCTACTTTAGTTTGGCTTGGAAACTTGTTTCTGGTTTTATTCATCTTCTAGCAAAAATGTGCCAGTAGGCTTTTTACTCATTAGTTTGGCCATTATAAAAATAGCCTGGTGGTATCCCTTTCATAACGTCCAGAATCAGGAAAGTACCTTTAAACTAAAGAAAATAATGAGCACATTTATAATAGATGGTGAAATAAAAGGCAGAACGAATTTATGAATGTTTTGGCTATTTTGTCAAAACTGGGTTACACTGCCAGCTTGACAGTTTTTGGAAAGTAATTATAGCAAGCGTGTTTCTAGATGAAAAAGCGGTAGTAGGTGAGCATTAATTTTCCGACAGGTGGCTGTGTTGGCTTTTTTACATTAAAAAGTACTACAGAAATATTCATTTAGCTAAAACTCTTCACCCCTCCGTTTTGACATGGGAAAACTAAATTGCTTCCTTTAGTTTTAGTTGATACCCTGCTATTTCAGGATGGCCCTATCAGTGTGACATTTACAGAGCACTCCATAGCAGCCCAGCACTGTCAAGTGTCTAATGCATCTTGTCACCTGCAAAATATTCTGAGGATCATCGCCTGAAAAGGATTGCAATGAAGCTATTGTCCTGTCATTTGTTAATGTCACAAGGGATGCCCTCAAGCCTGGGAGTAGACAGTCTAAGGAGACTTGATGCTACTATACCAACTTGTCTCCGTCTTCTTTTGTCACTTGTAGCCCTGTGCCATGGTGACAGTGATGTTAGCCAACTCAGTCCGTTGGCTAAAGAGCGCAAGCTTTACAGAGTGCCTCCAAGCTATTTCTAAGTGTCTATTTGAATATGTAATCATCCAAGGATCTGGGCCAGAGGACACTTAAATTCTAGGACTCCTGACACTGTTTTCTCTAATACTAAGAGTAAAAGACAGAGAGATGACTTGAACCCTTTTCCTTTTGGAACATGCAGTCCTGTGACTACACCCAGGAACAGTCTCCCAAATTTTGGAATGCCTCCATTCTACTCTGATTACTCTTCAAAACAATTTGACAATATGTCTCTATTCTACAAACAGTGTGGAAATTCCGTTCTTGCAAATTGCTTCCCATAGAAACTGTTTGGAAGAGGGGAGAGCGAGTGTGGTCCCAGGAGGCAGTCAGACACGGGTTTAAAACCATGATTTGCCAGTTCCTCACTTATTCCTTCTTTATCATAGTGTCCTCATCACTAAAATGTGGTTAATAATACTGACCACCTTCTAGGATGATATGAGGAATCAGTAAATGATATTTGTAAAGCATCTAACCTAGTGCCTGAAATATAACAATTATTAATGCATAGGCTAATGCAATTAATTTATTGTTATAATATACCAGCTTTCTGTACTTGTGAGTTATGACAAGGTACTTCAGCCTATTCAAATGGGTAGAGAGAGACTCCAATTCCATAACTTCAGGTTAAATGAATCAGCAGCTATGCTGCTAAAACTCAGTCCAAAATTCGACTTTCACTAATACGAAGTAGGTGTGTTTTTCAGCTAAGCAGGAAAGCTTAGTGTTTCTCTCTTCTCCAACTATCTGACAGTGTAAACTCAATCATAAGGCATGGTGTAGCAACAAATGAGGGATTTGAGAGGAAGTACTATTTATGGAAGACAGATTAATTGAAATAAAAACAGGAAATACATTTATTATCAAGTTGACAGGAATATCGTGGTTTTAAATACTTGTGATATAATCTATAATTAAATTCCACCTCTGGTTTTCTAATTGAACTTTTTAACCACTGTAACTTCTTATTCTTTATTATAATAATAGTATATATTCAATGTTGAGTTTTTGAAAAAAGATCCACAGTTAAATCTGTAAATCCATAACTATAATCAATAAGAAATACTTCAAGAAAATAGGTAGTTTCATTTTGTTGTTTGAAGAAACAATTTTCTTTAATAAAACAAGGGTTTTTCTGAAGGCACAAAGACTGGTTTAACTTCAATTGCTATTCATTTCATGGTGTTTAATTCCACAGTCTCACTGGGGATATTGGAAGATCTGTCCCTGTATAGTCTGTAATATAGGACATTTAAAAGGTCACTTTCTTCCGTTTAATGATTCAAAATTAAATGTGTCTATAAACATAGAACAGTTAGTTATATTAACTCCTTTTGGCTCTGAAAATCATTGCTACTTCAGCCATCCAACTGTGAGGCACTTATACTTGAATTGTAATCATTAAAGATATGTTAGCTATTTTCCGGATTTAATGCCTTAAAGAACATATTTAAAGTACTAAATTCAATAAAATGTCATTTATTTTGTGTTTTACTGTATTACAAAACTCATGACAAGCACAGTAAACTTCTTTTACAATCCCACAGGGGAATGACCACTAACCCATTCCCCTAGGAACTGTAAAGAAGGCTAAATAGGAACTGAAAGGCTAAATAACTTATTTTCTTAAGCATCAACAGAGATTTAAAATCAGGAGAGTCTGATTTCACACTCTTTTCACTACTCCATACTATCTTCTTCCAATGAAAAGCAAGTGAAATCCAATTCACTATTAAGTTCTTCTTATGTGCCAAATATCATAATAGGTTTGGTGAAGGGAGTAAAGATTAATTAAACCACACCTTTGACAGCTTCAGTAGTTGTCACCTCCTTTGTTTTTGACTCATGGATCTGCAATGATTCCCTCTTGCCCTTATGCAAATTCCAAATTGATCAACTCTAATCAAGACAGTTCATGAATTCTCCAACCTCTTTTCCATATCTTTTCACTTAATTTTCCAACCCAAATTGTACTATTGTTGACTCAACTTATTTGTCTTTAATTTAAATTATCACATGCTATTTAACATATTGGATAGTACAGTAAAACTATTATGCAAAATGCGAGTGATAATAAACTATTGAATTATTTCTAAATACACTTATAATAGTAGAGAAATTTAGTTAAAACTTCCATTTGGTAACAGATATATCAGTATATATGAAGCAGATGGTTCTGGGTTTTATGCAAAAGCATTTATTCTTTCCTTTATCATTGTTGAGTTTAACTATACAGACATATGTGTTATGAATAGAAACTATAAATTCTTAGGAGCTCTTTTAAGTCTGTAAAAACTGAACTTCAGGTTTTCTAGTGAGCAAAGTGAATATTTTCAGCTTTCAGGTGGAATATTTTCTCATAGTAAGATCTTCCTAAAAAACTTGTGCTAAAAGATATTTAATGACATATAAACTAGGTTTAAAATGACTAAACTGTTATTGATCCCATAATACTGTGAATTCAAATATCCAATCAGGTTAGGTGGTGAGTTCAACATTCAATCCAGATTTACTTTTTTACATCATAGAAAAGTACCCCTTTTCCAAATAGCAACGGTAATTATATTTTTCATTTTGAGCATATAAGTCATGAACAATCATTGACTTCATCGAGTACTTATCATGCACAACTAATGGTGCTAAAATAGAAATAAAAATTATTTATTTAAAAGAAACAAGAATAGGGACCAGCAGGTGGCGTGATGGTTAAGGGGGCTGGACTCCCACCTGGCCGACCATTTGAGTCCTGGACCGAGAGGCTTGCTTTCTCACTTTCTCTCTCTCTCTCTCTCTGGAAATATTAAAATAACTATAATAAATAAAGTTAATTAAAATAATTCTAAAAAAAGAAAGAAACAAAAATAACTTCTTATGGGATACCAGGGACACCAAAAATCCTTTTCGTAGAAAGAAAAGATGGCCTTTGCCTTTAAATATGATGGGATCTCTGTTTAATTTACTAGCACTGGCTTACTGAACTGGAAATTTTAGCAATGGTCTTTGCTGCTGCCATTCATGATTATGAGCATACGGGCACTACAAACAACTTCCATATCCAGACAAGGTAAGTGTGATAAAGCATTAGCATTTATAACTAAAATTTTGAAATTTATGTTTTCTGCATTCTACTTAACTTTAAGAAGGTTTTTAAAAAACAAAAAATATTCTGATAAGAATAGGTTTCATGGGTTTTTAGTTAAATTCTTTAAGCTTCAAATGTTTAAATCAGCTATTATTTTTCAAAATTATTGTGTGTACTTTATGACATATTAACCAGTTTAAAGAACATAAAATATGTAAGACAATTTCTCCCCCCCCCCAACTTTTACTGTGAACTATCCACACAAGCTCCAGGCATCTATTAACTTAGATCAATCTTACAGCATCTTTAAGGTACTGGTTTGTGGATATTATGTCATTGAAAGTAATATAATCACACATCTGGGCCAACTCATATCCCCGTGGGTTAGAACATCTGGAATCCACATGACTGACTACACAGAGTCCTGGACCTGGAGACTTGACAAACACAGTGGGTGTGTGTCTGTGGGCTTCCTTTCGTTCTCTCTCTCTCTTGCAAGCTCATGCACCCTTTGGCATTTTTTTTTTTTTAATTTCACTCCTGAAAATAATTACAAAAAGTCAAAAGAATCTCATTTTTAGCCCAGCTTGAAGTATTAAACTTACAACAATGGAAAGGTGAGATTTAAAAAAAAATAATAGCAATAATGACCATTGTTTGAATCAAAATACCAGAGTGGAACTCTGTTCATTTGTTGGGGCTACCATAACAAAATACTGCAAACGGAATGACTTTAACAACTCAGATTAATTTCCCACAGTCTGGAGGCTAGGAGTCCAAGATCAAGGTACCAGCAGATGAGTCTCTTCCAAGGCCTTTCTCTGTGACGCTTAACTTTAAGAAGGTTTTTAAAAAACAAAAAATATTCTGATAAGAATAGGTTTCATGGGTTTTTAGTTAAATTCTTTAAGCTTCAAATGTTTAAATCAGCTATTATTTTTCAAAATTATTGTGTGTACTTTATGACATATTAACCAGTTTAAAGAACATAAAATATGTAAGACAATTTCTCCCCCCCCCCAACTTTTACTGTGAACTATCCACACAAGCTCCAGGCATCTATTAACTTAGATCAATCTTACAGCATCTTTAAGGTACTGGTTTGTGGATATTATGTCATTGAAAGTAATATAATCACACATCTGGGCCAACTCATATCCCCGTGGGTTAGAACATCTGGAATCCACATGACTGACTACACAGAGTCCTGGACCTGGAGACTTGACAAACACAGTGGGTGTGTGTCTGTGGGCTTCCTTTCGTTCTCTCTCTCTCTTGCAAGCTCATGCACCCTTTGGCATTTTTTTTTTTTTAATTTCACTCCTGAAAATAATTACAAAAAGTCAAAAGAATCTCATTTTTAGCCCAGCTTGAAGTATTAAACTTACAACAATGGAAAGGTGAGATTTAAAAAAAAATAATAGCAATAATGACCATTGTTTGAATCAAAATACCAGAGTGGAACTCTGTTCATTTGTTGGGGCTACCATAACAAAATACTGCAAACGGAATGACTTTAACAACTCAGATTAATTTCCCACAGTCTGGAGGCTAGGAGTCCAAGATCAAGGTACCAGCAGATGAGTCTCTTCCAAGGCCTTTCTCTGTGACGTGCAGACAGTCACGCACTTGCTGTGGTCTTTTATTAGTGCATAAACCCTTGGTGTCTGTTCTTTTTTAAATTTTATTTAATTTTTTAATTTTTAGTTTTTATTTTTTGAAAGGTTTTTGCTATAGGGTGTGTGTGCTTGCCAGAAAGATAGAGAGAAACAGAGAGATAGAAAACGAGAAATCACCCCCTAGAGGGGATGGTCATGCCGCAATCCCTTCTCCTCTATTCTCTGGGGATCTTGGGCACGCATACACATATGCCTGGCATGAGTTAAAGCCACCAGGTCCGGGACTTGAACTGTGGTTGACTACATGGAAGCCCAGCGACACAGCCATGATGCCAACTGCTGGTCTCCGTGTTTGTTATTATTTTAAGGACACCAAGCATATGGATTTAAGCCCTACCCTTATTGCTTGATATAATTACATCCTGAAAGGCCCTGTCTCCAAATACAGTCACAGTAAGACTTCAACAAATGAATGTGATGGTGGTGGTGCAGGGGCAGTGTAGTCCATAACAGGAAGCTCTTCTTAGTTAAGCAGCAGTCTCAGAGCCTGAGAGACAGAATTTGGTCTAGGCACCATCAGGATCCGGCTTACTTTACACACTCATGTGTGAGATCCTGACATTTCGTTAAATCTGTCACTGGTCAGGTATGCTTGACAAGGTGACATCACTTCAGAGACTGATGTGTCTCTGAAACCATCATAGAACCCTGCTGAAGGGAAACTAAACCTGGTTATTTTTTGTTTGCTAATTTGTATTGTTTTATAATTCATCATATTATTTTATAGTAGTTTTAAGTTTATAAAAAAAATTGAACAGGAAGAACAGAGTTCCCATCTGCTTTCTCCTGTCACGTTACAATATCCTGTTATTAACATCTTTCATTGCTTTGGTATGTTTGTTGTAACTGATGAGCCAATATTAGTACATAGTTATCAGCTAACGTCCGTAGCTTACATTAGGGTTCACGCTTTGTGTTTCAGGTTCTATGGGTTTTGACAGATGTATGGAATTGTGCTTACTACTGTGGTATCATGTACAATAGCTTCTCTGCCCTAAAAGTCCCCTGTGCTTCTTACTCCCTTCCCTTGCCCTTTTTTCCTGGTAACCACTGATCTTGCAATGTCTCCTAAGTTTTGCCTTCCCCAAAATGTCATGTAGTTGACATCATACAGTACATGGATGACATTTTCACATAGGTTTCTATACCTTAGCACCATGCATTAAAGATTTTTCCATGCCTTTTTGATAGCTTATTTCATCACTGAAATAATGTTCCATTGTATGAATGTACTATGGTTTATCTGTCATCTATTAATGGAAACCTTGGTTGTGTCCAAATTTTGGCACTTAACAAAAAAAGCTGCTGTAAGCATAAATGTGCAGGTTTTTCTGTGATTGGTTCATGTGATTTTTTTTTGGGGGGGGAGATTTTCACGATAGGGCGTGTGCGCTCGCCAGACAGACAGAGACATAGAGACAGAAAGCGAGAAATCACCCCCCAGAGGGGATGGTCATGCCACAATCCCTTCTCCTCCATTCTCCTCTCGGGATCTTGGGCACACACGCATACACGCCCGGCATGAATTTTTAGCCACCGGGTCTGGGATGCGAACTGCAGTAGACTACGTGGGAGTCCAGCGACATAGCCATTATGCTAACTGCTGGTTCCCGGTTCATGTGATTTTTAATATGACTATCTTAACAACTGATTTTCCAGGTACAAGGAGTTATTATTTGTTTGATTTACAGAATCAGAGAGAAACAGTGGGAGACAGTGAGAGGGAAAAAGAGAAAGCACTTCTTCCTCTCCTTCTGTTCCTAGTCTTCCTCTTCCTTGTGTAATCTTATCTCTCTGTCTCAATGAATAACCTTTTTTTTTTTTTTCTTTAGGTTTTTTGCCATAGGGTACATGTGTTCCCTGGAGAGAGACAGAGAGAGGTAAAATGAGAAATCACCCCCTTCCAGGGGGTGGCCATGCCGCAACTCCTTCTCCATTCTCCTGGGATTTGGGGCGTGTACACACAGGTGCTTGGCATAATTTTCAAGCCAGTAGATCTGCGAGTCAAACCATGGTGGGCCCACCATCTACTGGTCCCTGAATAAACTTTTTTTGAAAAAAAGAATAAAAGAAACTCAGTATAAAAGGGGGGGGGGAGTCTTGTATTTTACTTATTTTCTTATAAATTGCCTAACATGATCAGAATGATTCTGCATGCACTTTAAAATTCCACATACAAAAATGTTTTAATGACTAACTTGCCACAGTATCACAGGCTTTTAAACTCTCACTATTGCCTTCATATTTCATACAAGGAGAGAAATGAGGTAGTGTCTGACTGATTTATAGATAATTCTTTGTGTATTTCATTTGTTACTGGATTTAGCATGCTTTTCTAATGTGGAGACCCATTTATTATATAATGCAAATGACTGGAAAATAATTTAGAACATAGAGAAAAACTAGATTTGAGTTCAATACAGAATTATAATGCATGAAATCCTTGAAAGTGTAAATAAATTGAAATAATTTCAATTTCTGTGAAAACAAATGCTGAGCTACAGGTTACCATGGATACTGGATGTTGCTTAGAGTCTTGTTCTTTTCCTAGGAAAGGCCATCTCACACATTAAGGCCATGCTGTATTCTTATTATCTTTGTTGGATTCATGACGCAAAACCACGTCCCTTTGCTAGTGTGAAATCTGGTTCATGAACATGTATTTGCTTGTTTATGAAAGGAAGCGATGGTGCCACTTGGAGCCATATCACATAATAACCCTGGCAAAACTGCTAGAATTGGGGCTATATGGTACAAATGATGCTAGTGGAAAATCAGTTTTTCCCATGATCTCAACACAGTTTTGGAAATACAGTTGGTGTTTTACATGGACAAGATGGATTTAATTCTCTCTTATTTCTCGAATTTATTTATCTGGTTGTCAGAAAAGTCAAGACACATTTTGGCATAGAAAAATACATCATGACTTTCCAATGACCCAATGTTTTTCACTTCATAAGACAGAGAGAACAAGAACACATGTGTGTGAGAGAGAGAGCAACAGGTATCCCCAACAGGGTCTACATGCTACTCTCTACCTCAGCCCCAACCAGACAAGATCATTGAGTACACACACACACAGAGGCATATAGGGAGACCTTGGGATGCAAGCCTCGTACCTTTTTATATGTTCTCAGCATGTAGAGTGTTGTCCTATCACAGCACCACCATGACTAGCTTAAAATACCTCTTAAACAAGGGTATTGCAAAGGTTCTTCCTGTTTAGTTTTCTGGGACTGAGGTATGATTATCATTAAGAGAATTTTAAGGCTTAACTGGGATTATGAAAAAGAAATCTACTTTGGAGACATGGGCTATTAGCTACATATGTAGTTTATTCTACCTCTGTAATAGTGCCCAGAGCAAAGAGGAAATATTAAGTGATTCATATTCATTTCCTTTATGTTGGATTACTACTAAACCTAGGTCTATCTGGCAGACTATCAGATGCAGATCTTGAATAGGTTGTAGATGCCAGATTTGTAGATGCCAGATTTCTTTAGCTCTTCTTCTTTTCATTGAAATAAATGCTATTATGTATATTTAAGGTATACAACAGAATGCTATGAGATACCTATAGGTAATAAGATAGTTACTGTAGTGAAGTATTAGATTAAGGTATCCATCATCTCACATAGCTACATTTTGTCCTTGTCTCCACTTCAGTAGGCATTCAGTGTCAGGGGAAGGGCTAGATTATAACTAGGACTGTACCCACTGAAAAGCCTGAAATAGTTAAGTCTTGAATGAAGCAATTTCCCAACTAACAGCACGTATACCTACCAGGAGGAAGGAAACTGAGAGAAGCCTGGGTGTTGGAGGAAGTGGCAGAAAAGTTGCTATAGGTTTTAACTTCAATTTTCTTTAGCTAATTTTGATGCCTGCCTCCAAGAACCAATTTATATGAAAAGATTCACCATTTTGAGAAATGAATATAGTGGTTCTGCTTTTATTTCACACTTGCAAAATGATCTGGTAATCTAGAAAGGTAGGGGAAGGAGAAACAAAGACTCCTTTAGAGATCTGAGAATGCCTGTAATACTTCAGACTTTACACTAGAATACCAGATTCATCAGTGTAACTTGAAGTAGTTTATTTGATGATCAAATTACAGAAAAAAATACATACAAATACAAATCTTCTCTAGATGTAGACATCATTTAAAAAATAAAGTATCTGTCAAAACTTGATAGTAAAACATGTATTTGCAATTTTGTTTTAAAAATGACTTAACTCCATTTTCATTTAAAATGAAGAATTTATAAAATTCAAATTTACTCACATTGTAAGGGGAGAAATCTCAAATCACAACTAAACAAATTATTTTCACCATTTCCAATGAAATGAAACAAAAGTAATCTTTTCATCAAATGACATAGAATGACTGGGTAAAACTAAGTCTCGGCACAGTCTACTGTGATTGGAATGTGTCCCCCAGAAACTGCTATGTGTGTTGGACACTTAAGCCATAGGGTTACAGTGTTAGGAAGTAAAGCCTAACAGAAGTATTAATGCAATTATATAATGGCTTGCACAAGTAGGTTTACTGTCATGCCTTTTCTGCCCTTTCATTGTGTTGTAAAGCAGCAGGAAGGCCCTCAGCAGATGACAGCCCCTTGACCTTGGGTTTCACAGCCTCTAGAACCATAAACCAATAAGTTTTCATTCATTATAAATTACCCAGTTGCAGCAACACAAAATGTACTAACACACAGACCTCACTCAGAATTGATCACAGATCTCAATATAAAACACAAAATTATATAACTCTTATAAGATAACATAAGAGAAGGTCTAGATGACTTTGGATAGGGCAATGAATATTTAAATACAACACAAAAAGTGTTACGACAAAAAGAGTTAATAAGCAGGACTTCAAGAGAATGAAAGTCAAGCCACAGACTGGGGGAAATATTTGCAAAGCTATATCTGATCAAGAATTCTTATCTAAAATACACCAAAAAAACAAACAAAAAATTGCTGAAAACTGAACGATATGAAAATAATTTAAAAATGGACCAAACATTTTATCAAATACCTCAACAAAGGACATACATAGATGGTCAATAAGCACATGAACAGATATTCTACACCTTAGATGGAACATCAGGGAAATGCAAGTAGAAACAATGTACTGGAGAAATGTAAATTGAAACGATAAGATATCACAACGCATTTATTAGAATAGCTCAAATCCAGAATATGGCCACACCAAATACTAAGGAGGATATTGAACAACAGACTAAGGAGGATATTGAACAATAGGAATACTCATTGGTTACTGGTGGGAATGCAAAATAGTAAAGCCACGCTGGAAGAACTTAGCAGTTTCTTACAAAACTGAGACCACTCTTACTACATGACCCATCAATGATACTCTTTAATATACTAAGAGTCAAAATGATATATCCACACCAGGGCCAGCCAGATGGTACGGTGGTTAACGTGGCTGAATCCCACATGGCCAAGTGCACAGATCATAGTCCTGGATCTGCTGTGTGCTTGCCCGAAATCCCAAGGGGAGAATGGAGAAAAAGAAATTGTAACATGACCTTTCTCCCTATGGGGTGATTCCTCACTTTTTCTCTCTCTCTCCTGCTTTCTTTCTGGCGAGCACATGTGCACTATACCAGCCAGAAAAGAAAAGAAAAAAAGCTTAGATCCACATAAAAACCTGCACACAGATATTTATAGCAACTTATTCATAATTTTCCAAACTTGGAAGCAACCAAGATGTCTTTCAGTAAGCAAGATAAACTGTCCATAATCGAGACAATGGACCATTATTCACTACTAATGAGAACTGCTCTATCAAAACCATGAAAAGAAATTTAACTGCATCACTAAGTGATAGCAATCAATCTGAAAAGACAGCCTATTGTAAGATTCTAAATATATGACATTTTGGAAAAGGGAAAACGATGGAGGGAATACAAAGATCAGTGGTTACCAGGATTTAGGGAGAGAGTGGGAATACATAGATAAAGCATAGAGGAATTTTAGGGCAGTGAAGCTACTGCATATGATACTACAATGGTGGGTACAGGCCATTACACATTTGCCTAAACCCAAAGCATGCAAAACATCAAGAGTCAAGCCTAATATAAGCTACAGATACCATGCGCCGTGCAGGTTTATTGACAAAAATATCACTCTTTTGAGGGATGCTAATGATGTCAGTTATTATACACTTTTATACTTGTGTGAGAGCAGTAGGTGTGTGGGAAATCTTTGCATCTTATACAATTTGCTATGAACTAAAACTACTCTAAAAATGAGTTTATAATATAGTACAGTAAAAACAAAGTGGTTCCATGCTTTTAAGTGGTCAGTGAGAAGATTTTTACTGGTAAGATGGCCTGAACCTTGCGTATCCTTTATTGTAGATCGGTGAAGTCTAAAGGAATGTACTAGGCATTTTGTTTCTACTTCTTAGGTCAGATGTTGCCATTTTGTATAATGATCGTTCTGTCCTGGAGAATCACCATGTGAGTGCAGCTTATCGGCTTATGCAAGAAGAGGAAATGAATATCTTGATGAATTTACCCAAAGATGACTGGAGGTGAGTTTCAGAAGAAACAGAAGAAATTTAATTTCAGGAAAAAGATGAGTTACGTGATTTAATGCAAAGGAAACTGATGCAAGTTAATGCCATCTCCATAGTACAAAGTCAATTGCTGTTGACCAGATGGTTCTGAGAAGGGTTAGTACCTGGAAGACTTGTTCGGAAGCCAGGCTCTGTGAGATGGAGCTGAACTATTTCTAGTAAATGCAACACCCACATGCATGTGTAAGTCCACACACTACAAAACAAAGAATTTAAAACATACAACGATATACTTTCTAGAAAGGAGCTCTGCTCAGTTTGTACCAATATATGGCCTCACATAAATTCAGCATTTTGGCATTCCTTTATATATTATTTGGCTGTATGTAAAGTTCAACTTTCTTTAAACAAAACATTCAATTATTTGACAAAATATTTTACACACTAAAATGGCAGATTGCCAGGGACCAGCCTCGGCAGGGGTGGGTTGACTCGACGGAGGCGGCGCTGGAAAGAAAGGAAGACTAAGGCCTCGTGCCTTTTCATGCACATCCTCAGCCGGACACTCCCAGAGATCGCTCTCTGAGGAGTGACAACTGCTAGGAATCACCGTGCCTTTTTATTGAAAATGGGATACATGCAAGTAAATGGGAGAGGGGCTACGTGTTCTAATTATCAACTCATAAAGCTTTAACAATAGAGATCAAAGATTCTATTCAGGGTTTGATTAAGGGCAGGTCTATTAATCATCAATACAATTCAACAATAGATTGATGTAAGCAAGCTTTTGGGAACTTCTGTTCTGGGAGTGTGGTTCCAGAGAACAGCTCCAGCAGGCAGAGTTAATTATCAGCCAGTACTTGGCGGCAGCCGTCTTGCGGTTACTGGTTGCGTTACTAGAAAAGAAAATCTCAAGTACAGATATTAGTTTTTATAAATCTCAGTAAAGAATGATATTTATATAATTTTATAGAGATGTAAAATTAATTAAAGGAATCCTAATATATTTGCGTATCCTGAAGGGGTGAAGTTAGTGTTCACTTGATGAGGGCAGGGATA